GGCGCCCCCCGCCCTCGCCGCCGTCCTGGCCTTCTCGGGGCTGGCGCTGAGCTGCTGCCGCGAGCCCGTTCTCTCCGGTGAGTGACGCGTCGCGGGGAGCCGGGAGGGGGGCGCGTTGGGGGCCGCTCCCCGATCTCCTCCTCGCAGGGCTGAGCGGCGAGGGAGCCGGGCAGTCTCTCCTCGAACTCCGCAGAGTTGCGGCTGGCGCGCAGCCTCCCGCGGAAGGGCTCTGCCGCCCGGCAGCACCTCTTCGAGGTCGCGACGACGTCCCTTCCTGCTCGCCAGGTCGGTCGCAGCTACGAAGCTGCTCGTGCGAACATGCAGGGGGTATTTTCGTGCGCAGTTTGCAGCGTGTGGGTATTTGAGGATCTCCCTGTGCTCGCTGAGCTGGGAGCTCGGAAAACTGTACGAAAGCGTGAGGTGAGAGGACGAAGAGCGGCACGTTTCTCTATCAAAGTGGTTTGGTAGCTAGATCTGCAGAACGGAGGCATCTGCAGGGAGAGGGGAGTGTGGGGTGTGGGTACACTTACTCACTGGGAAATGAAATAACCAGTGGCAGCAGGGCAGAATCGGGGCTGCGGAGCCAGAGCTTGGAGGGTGGCCATCTCGCCTGTCTGCAGCGTGCTGCCCCAGCTCCCTGTCGAGCATGGGCTCCTCAGGCCATTCAGGTTCTCGTTCAGCCAAGGAGTCTGGGAAGCTTGAAGCTTCGCTACCTGTTAGTGGGATTTTTCACTTAAATTTTCTCTGCACCCTTTTGTTCTCATCTCAGTTGTTACTGATGATTTCAAGTACCATGGTTCTCCTCTGATAAACGTTGACCCTGCTTCGCAAGATCTGAAGTGGCTGTTCCAGATGATCACAGTGTCACAGCCATCAGATGCATGGCCCTCCTGGATACATTTTGCATATCCTAACTGTTGTTATTCTTTATAACATAGAATTTGCTCAACTTCCTTTTGCCATGAACAGATACTTGCTCATCAAGTTTTTGTAGATGCACTTAATTAGATTTGGAAAATACTTACATAGACTTTCTTGGGGGAAAAAAAGCCGTTTACCAGAAAGAGAACTCAGGCGGTAAACTTCACAACTTCTCAGAAGTTACCTGAAGTGAGTAAAGCGTGAGAGTATTTTCAGATAAGCATGTAGAGAGCTGCCTAGACAGGGACATATCTAGACCATGTCTAACAGTCTGTTCCCAGTACGTGCCATTAGGGCATGTTTGGTGCACACTGTAGGTACTCCTTGCTTTGCTTAAGTTGAAGAATGTCTTGTAAGGTTTCTGAGCAGCACTGCGGACCGAACACTCCATATGTGACCATGTCCCTCACAGCAGGCTGCATGACAGAAAGTGGAGGATATATCCCAGTGTGAATGTTTGGTTCATAGGCTATTGAGAGGATTCCATCCGTTTCCGCACCTGCACTTCCATCCTCTAGCCAACTTCTAACTGCATGCACTGGCAGCCACTAAAGGGGACAGAGATGCCTGAGCACAAGCAGCTGGGGCGGGGGGAGGGGGGAAGAATATATAATGCCTCTGAGTGAGGGGGTAGCAAAGGAGAATGGATCTAGAAAGCACTGCTACCTATGTGTCTTCTGCTGAAGAACCTGGAACCAGTGCAAATCTACATTTAACAAAGACCTGTAATTTGTATGGCATGTACAGAATCTGCAGAGTCGCTGATCTGCACGAAGCATACCTCAGGATCTTCTTCTTGACCCTTAATCCCACAGGACCAAAACGGGATCAGCTGGGTCAGGTTGCACTTGAAGCTAGCAGAATTCTGAAATGACAAACACTAATATTTCTTTTGCAAGACAGTTTGTCATATGGTATGTTTTTAATGCCTATTCATTTTTTATCAAATGCATGTCTTAATAAGTTTATTGTAAAATGCAGTCAAAATACAGACTGTGTCACACCATCATTTGCTAAGACAGGAGAGAAACTAACTTCTGGAATTGCCTTATGAAAAATGGCTCGAATTGTCAGAAATTAGACTGAGTTAACAATTGTTTTTGCACATAGTACCGTGCTACTTTTCACAGAATGTTTGTGCTTCGCTGTGTGATGTCCAACAGTTTCTATTAATCCAAACACGGACATTTGCAGCATTCAAACTTCAGTCATACCACATTTCTCAAGTGAATCAGAAATAAGAGATGGGTGAATAGATTGCCTAACATTAAAGGACTGTCTGAATTTGGTGAGTTTTGTATTACAAGGCCAAAGAGATGGAAATGCCTTCGGCAAATGTTAGTTTCAGTGAACAAATGTTATTTTATATACTCAGTGCAAGAAGTTCTCACTTCTAGTTCCTGTATTTATAGTGTTCATTTAATTTCCCAATCAGAAATGTGTATGATCGTCAGTCTCTTCTTCCTTTCTCTGTTTTCTTTCCATTTAGCAATACTGGGTCACAATGTCCTCGGTTTTCTTCCCAGCTGAGTCTTTCCTTTGAGCTGCTATTTCAGCCTTCTCTCACAAACCTTGTATCTCATCATCTTTTTCTGCCCATGTCTTGCTGATTCAGAGAAGCAGTTCTACTTGAGATGCCTTAAGCGATCATCATGGAAATACTTGAAAAAGCATTTCTAACCAGACAGATAGAAAACGAAATAGTCAGACTCTTCAGCATATCATGCTTGTACATGCATAGAGCGTAACTCAAAATCCAGAGTTATGTGAATGGATTTAGGCAGGATGGAGCCAAAGAAGTGGGAGGGAGGCAGGGATTACATGCTGCCAGCTGCAAAATTTGCATTCTTTGTCATATCACACCATAATGGTTGTGCAATTGACCAGTCCCTCCATGCACACAGTGGCTATGGCCCATCCTGATAAAATTTCCAAAGGGATTCAGTCTGCCACGCTTGACAATGGAACAACAGTTTTAAAACTTCACAAAGAAAAAAAACAAATGGGTGTATTAAGGAACAGAAATTCTTACGGGACCACATCATGCATTCTTACTTCCAGTGATAAAGAATCACAAGACAAGCAAGTGTGTTTGTGTCTTGTGGCTGAGGACCAGCCAGCAGCTGCAAAGCTGTGGCTAATATAGCATGTTTGTATTGTATGAATAAAAAGAGAAAAGGTACAAAATACATACTTTTAAGTGTTAGAAATAATGGTAACTACCTCTCATGCTCATATGCTAATTTGCCTGCTTCCAACATATTCTGGAAAGGGTCTGGCCAGTCAGATAGCATTTACCTTTTTTTTTTCCTAAAAACAAAAAAGGAAAAGTGGTGAAAAAGTTATTAGATTGAAGGTTAGTAATCCAAGTTTCACAAGAATAGCAAGTTCACATATATAACAACTCACACACTGCCAGGGAGCACAAGTATGGAACTCCACATGTCTGTACATTCCCAGGAATGTACATTCTTACAGGACAGACAGATGCTTAAGTCAAGGTTTGATCAAATGTCATTCACTGTGACTACTCTCTGGTTTGGACCAACGCTAAATAAGACTCTAGTTCTGACCAGCAAAAATGATTGCATTTGAGGACTATAAAAATTATATGTATATGTCTGTGTGTGTGTTTGTGTGTCTGCGCGGATACGTAGAATGAGAGAGGTGATTTTTAAACTACACGCAGAGTGCCCCTATGCTGCAAGGGAGAAATGATCAGCTAACCAAGCGCCCTCATAGCGTCACATCAGAATTCAACTGGCTGATTTACCAAACGGGGAGTTATTTTCTAGAAATTTTGAGAATTGCGATTTTAAACAAAGATCATTCTTTCCTGAGGTTTTTTCTGTAGTTCGTATCAACTGTTGTGTTGTGGGGTTTTTTACTGTTACAGTATAGGCACCCAAGCCTGATAGTTTTGATAAGGGCTTTTGTTTCCAACCTCAATGATTCTATGATTCTATGATTCTATTAATTGGAATAGTAAAGTTTCGAAATGTAAAAATGCTACACTAGTTTTTCACTTGGGTAGGTCTCAAACAGCCTTGTACTTCCCAAAAGCATTTATTTTGCATCATAACATAATATGGAATGAGATTATTTTTTCCTGACCAATCATATGACAGTATGCAAATGAACTTTTGGTTCCATCGATAAAACTGCATCTTCAAAGAAAACCATTGCACTGCTAAAAATATTTTTAATAATGACCACAGAAGCCATATTTGTCTCTTTGATCTCCTGAAGCTTCTTCTGGTTTTAATCAGTGTTCCCACATGAAGAACTGTGGCAACCTATGATAATAGAATCCCTATTCGCATCCATAGGGAAACAAAAATGTTCTCATCTGAAGAAGGTAATTTGGTGTTCTGCCCCTTCCATCCGTGGGCCCCTGCCTCTGTTGCTGCTGGGGTATCTTGGCATCAGTTAAGTGGTTTCTGTCCTTTCCTCTGTGCATTACTCTCTCATTGAAGTGTTTCTGCTGTCTAATTATACCCTTTCAATCAAATTAGAGACTGCAGCATCTGGTTAGTGCCTGTAACTGTTGCCATCTGCACCTAGATACAGTGCTTTCATTTAAGGAGGAGTGCTTAAATTGCAACCTCTAGCAAGAACTAGGAGAACAGTTTAGGTAGAATGGAAATGACTTAAAACTCTTCTTAGAACACTATGCGAGCACATGCATCAAGCAACTGACACCTAGTCATTGTCGGACCCGGCGCCTTTGGTTCCATATTCTTATATTCTGCTTAAGCATTTTTCTCACTCTTCTGAAAGGCTGTAAGAAAAACAAGTGAGAACTGAGCAGGCAGTTGCAGCATGTGAATTCAAGGAACCTTTATTTCTTGCTCCAGCCTTACAGAACATTAAATGTTCTGGCTATCACACCACTGTAATGAAACCCAAGATTTAAATAGCAGCCACTTTCATTTACCTTCCATTAATCTGCAGATTTTTAAAAGAAAATCTTGCTTCTTGTTTGGCAGTAGCTGCCAGGATAATTTCTGGCCTGGGTAGGCTAGTTTCTGGTTGATAATTGTTGTCAACCTTTAATCTCTCTGACCACTAGTCAGCACTCCAAGTAGCTTCCAGAACTCAAAGCAAACAAATAAAGCAAGTAACTTTATTTTTTTCAGTGAAATAGTAACAAGTT